GGGGGTGTAGGCTGAAAGGTTAAGACCTTTTTGGGGGCACATTGGGTTCAGCCATATAATATGAACAATCGTACAAGCAGTGTCAACACCGATGTGGCAACCCTTTGGACCCGTGCAAAAATGACAATAGCAGTAGCAGCAACACAAGCGCCAAGAAAATGCTATACTATACTTCCAATAATAATGTTAATGTACAGTATTGCTAATACCAGCAAGAAGAGGGTTCAGGCTGTAGGCTCCCAAGTTCCAAGCAGGACGAGCAGATCGACATGGCGCGAGCAGAGGCAGTGACAGCAATACCCAGGTCCAGCGACCGCGACCGCCGCCGAAAGCAAAGGCCGGGCCAAGCGTTCCCCTGAGTCATGGCCTCCCTAATTCCCAAACCCCAAGCCTCTCACACTCTAAGCGCAAAATCTCCAGGCGCCAGCCGCGCCGCCAGCCGCGCCTGCTGAGCATGCCACTTTGGCGGGCAACTGTTTCTTACAGGGTAAATACGTATCTATTTATCTCTCGATCTCTTTTATCTAATTTTCTTTCTGCTGTATATATATATATACATATATGGTATGGGATATAAATAAATAAATATATATATATAGATATACATTTGTATATGTATCTCTCTCTCTCTCTCTCTCTCTCTCTCTCTCTCTCTCTCTCTCTCTCTCTCTCTCTCTCTCTCTCTCTCTCTCTCTCTCTCTCTCTCTCTCTCGCTCTATCTCCCTCTCGCTCTCTCCCTCTCCCTCTCCCTCTCCCTCTCCCTCTCCCTCTCCCTCTCTCTCTCTCTCTCTCTCTCTCTCTCTCTCTCTCTCTCTCTCTGTCTGTATATCCCTCTCCCTTTGTAGGCACTCATTATGTGGCGTACTGCTCCCTTCCAGGTCCCTTCCCGGTATTTACTTCCATCTCCAAAGCTGTGATTGGGGGTTCCGGGTGCTTTTGTTGTCTTTAGTGCTTTCGGGGAGGGGGCCCGTTTTTGCGTGGTTTCGAATAGCAACGTTTTGGGCTTAGACACGTCGTCCCAGACAAGTTAGGACTCATTTTGAGCCCATACTTGTTGGGTTATGATAGGTTCATCGTAACCTTCCTGGAATCGGGTTACCATACATTCGATGGCCCCTTTGCGAAAAGCAAAGCAAAACTCGGCAGGACTGGGGGGAAAACATGCATCAATGAGTAGGGCGGGTCGTTCTGATTGCCGACTCCCACCACATCTCGGATGACTGAATGTGAAGGCACGAGTTGAATTGACCCCCAGTTCGCCCTTACTTAGCACTGACAAAGGAAATGAATGTAGGTGAGCGGCACCGAAGTTCCAAAGCACAAGCACGGTATGTATACACGGTCCCTTCTTTATGGGCACTTTAGAGACGAAACAAGGCCCCAAGCCGCCGAAAACGCAAACCGAAACGCCAAACAAGGGAAACCAAACACAGCACGGAAGGAACCCCCAAAGCCGAAAAGCCAACAAACAACCTCCCCCTTCCCTCCCAAGGCCCCTCACTTTTCTCACTGCAGCTCGCTGGCGGTTCACGCATTCTGGCAGCCCGCTGGCGGTTCACGCATTCTGTCTCCACGGCGGCGACGGTTTTGGTTTTGCTGCACGCCATGGGGCTGCTTCAATGGCACTTTGTACTCGCCGGCCCCCTCTCCTGTGGGAGCTTGCAGAGACCTCCTCGACCCTCTTGTTGGCAGCCTGTTGTTCTGCATCCTCCACCTGGACCTCCTCCACGTCCTCGTCTGTGTCCCCCATGTCCTCGACGTGGTCCGGGCTTGGCCCTGCTGTCCATGTAGGGTCCTCCACGTTGGCGTAGTCGCCCTGTCCCCCTGGCTTTTTCTTGCCTTGTCCCCATCTTCTTGCAGCCTTCTTTTCGCTGCCATGTCCCCGTCCTTGTCCATGCTGTCGTAGTAGTCCTCGTCCTTGTCCTTGCTGACCCTGAAACCCTAAACCCAAAACCCAAAACCCTCTCAGAATCCCCCTCCCCCAAAACACTAAAGACAACAAACAGCACCCGGAACCCCCAATCACAGCTTTGGAGACGGAGGTAAATACCGGGAAGGGACCTGGAAGGGAGCAGTACGCCATACAATGAATGCCTATAAAGGGAGAGGGATATATAGAGAGAGAAGGAGATAGAGAGATCGATACATATGTAAATAAATAAATATACATATATACAAATACACATATAAAATACATATATATATGCATAATATATATATATATACACCATATATATATATATTTACAGCAGAAAGAAAATTAGATTAAAGAGGAAATAGATACGTATTTACCCTTTACGAAACAGTTGCCCGCCAAAGCGGCAGGCTCAGCAGGCGCGGCAGCTTTCGGCGGCTGTCGCGGTCGCAGAACCTGGGCAGAAAGCCCGGACCAAACCGCTCGGCGGCGGGGGGTCCTCCAAAGCGTGGAGAAGGAGAAGGAGAAGAAGGAGAAGAAGAAGAAGAAGAAGAAGAAGAAGAAGAAGAAGAAGAAGAAGAAGAAGAAGAAGAAGAAGAAGAAGAAGAAGAAGAAGAAGAAGACCTCTTATACATTGTCATGAGATTCCGTTCTCCTTCTGTGTGTTTTTTTTGGCATCTTTTTCGATTCATGTTGGTTTGTTGATCCCACACCAAAGGCGCATGCCCTTTGGTGCTCGGCCTGGGCGACTGGCATCCTAGGGACTTGTGGGGGCATTCCGTGCACTGCCATCTGGTCCGGGCCGCCGGTTTCTGCACCTTGGATTGACAAGAGGGTTTTCCCAGAGTTTGAGCCTTCTTTTTGAGTTATCCATGAGGTCTTTGAAGAAATCAGGGTGTCAGGGCACCAAAGTGTTCCGCCAAAATCATGGTGTTTGCATCCGATGCGTCCGCAAACCCGTTCGTAGAGACCTTTTGAAGCAGGCTGGATGAAGGCGCACACTCACTTTCAGCACTTGTGGGCCATTCCAGAATCTTGTGTGCAACTTTCTGCTCGTTCCGCTGGAGATAAAAACAGAGAGCGCTTTATCGTTCAGAGCATCCCGCGCTTGCTCGAAATGGCTTTTTCGCATCTGTGACGTCGATCAGTTTTCTCGGCATTGGACTTGTGCACCCTTATTGCTGTCTGGCGCCAGGACATGATTTCTTTCAGGCAAATTTTGACATTATAGACCTGCGCATATATCTGCACACCTCGGACAGCATGCTGCACATGCGAATGCAGGCTTTCAGGTGGGCAACAAGCTGTCATACAGCTTCAGTAAGGCGCCAGGTCAAGTGTCAGGCATTTTTAGGCAGCAATTCTACCGAAGAGTACAACACCACTGGTTTTGCAGTTTGTGCTTTGTCGGAGCTTTGAGGTGCTGGGTCCAGCCGGTTTGCCTCATGTGTTAGTTTTGACAACCTGAGAAAGCACGACCTTCGGCTTCGCATTGCTTTTGCACGGGGGAGCAGGGAGGCGGGCGATTTGCAACAGTGCAAAGCCGGGCATTGCATGTTGGTGGGGGGTTGGAGGTAGCCCACCCCGACCAAGCATTTAGACGGGCCTAGCGTAGAAGGCACCGCACCCCCCGCCTTGAGCATCGCGCTTGGCATCGCTTAAGTTGTCGACTACAAGTTAGCTTCTAATGCCTACCTCTTGGCACTCGATTGTCGTCACGGTGCTTCAGCAAGTGTAAAATGTCTGTTGCAACTCGGGTTGGGGTCCGTTGGGGCCCGTTTCGCGCTCTCAGTTACAATGCGTGAAGCTAGCGGACGCCCGCAATCGTTGTTGCATGCGGCGTTTTGGAGTCTCAACCTGCAAGATACGAAATGTGGAGCAGCCGAAGAGTAGCCGAACCAGAAGGGAATCTTGTAACCTGCATCGCTTCAAGCGGACAACGGCGAACGTCCCGACATGTTGCGCTGCGCAGCAGGGAAACCCGGAAGCCCATGATTCAACTGCAAGTGGAAGCTCCTGAACCTCAGTAGATGCAGTAATGTACAGCCTTTTGAAGTGGTCGCAATGAAACTTTCAGAGCCGCCCAAGTTCTTGCAGCCTCTGGACAGTTGCTGGATCCCCTGAAGCAACGCAGCTCAAACGCTGTTTTTTACAGCTACAGCATCTGATGCTGTCGAACATCTTCAAACGCGAGGCCCATCCGACTGCCGGAGTCGCCAGGCATCTGCCAGAAAAAAATCATGTGCTCAAGAATGACGACCTGTAATTCGCTGTCCGGGTGGCTGCGGTATATGTTACGCACGCTCTGCTGATGCAATCGCGCCCGCACCCGCGCAAACTAACAAGCAAGGGCTTGTTGCTTGGCTAGCCTTGTTGAAACGGCGATCTCAGTTCATGGTGTATTTCCAGTTTGTGGTACTTAGTGTTGCTGTTGCCTCTTAGATCTCAGTTGCCGCAGGTTGAGGGTTCAGCGGGTTCGGCTCCTTGCAAGTTGGATTCTGGATGTAGTCGTCATATGTTCGGAGTCTTTTGGAGTGGCGCTGCGCTTGAGCTTCAAGCAAGGTATGGGTGTCGGCGACCGAGGGGGTCAGGCGCAAAAGACACCGCAACCTACTTGCGCTCACTGCCCCTGGAACAGCGTTGGTTTTTTGAGGCGCTTCCCCCTTGAGCCTATGAGCTCTGCGATTACATACAGCAATCGCCACGATGGATCTGTCAAATCCTGTGATGTGTCAGCGAAGAAAAAGAAGCGAAGTCAACACAAGCTCGTTGATGTCTGTCGTCATCCTCGCAAGCCGAAGGCTTTTCATGGGTGAGGGCGCTGTAGACTAAATTAGACGTCTTGGGCCAGCTGCTGCATGGAACAAGCCAGTGCAGCATTGGCTTCACCTTGACTGCTTCAAGTCATGCAGAATGCACAAAAAGAGCCCTTCGCTGCTTCGACTCTCAACCGAAACCACATACCGACAAGGCTGCCAAGGCTCATACGGTTTTAGTCACGAAAGCTACGTCTGAGCTGCATGTAAGCGGTCGCTCCACCAACTCTTCCTCTTGTCTCTTGTGCCTGCGCTTTCGTTGTGCTGAGGACGTGGCGAAGCAGTGAGTTGTAAACCCAGCTTTCAGATGTGTTGGAAGCCATCCTTGCCACATTGGCCCAATCTGCTGGGTGTTGCGATGCCCGCAGCATCTGGCTGGCTGCAGATCTTGTGGCTGAGCAAGTCAGATTCAGGCTACGTGGCCGAACCTGGCGGGGCTGCAAACTTAGACTCTTGAGCCAAGAAACAAAAAAGTGTGTCAGACACCGAAATGCTTGCATAGTAGGTTTGCCGTGCCCTGGCCAGTCCCATCCAAGGTGCTGACCGCCGATGTGTGTGTGCTCGATGATGTCCATGTCCCAGTTTTTACAGGCCATATGAAACAGGGTTGTTTTTGGTGAGTGTATGTAAGGTTCCTTTTTAATATTGGTGAGTGTAGATATTTGGCGTCCTTTTAGGGGTACAAGAAACATATCGGTCCTCTTGATGCTCGTGAAGGACTTGGAGCGGCTTCGTGGTGTGCTGTAGTTTTTCGCTTCTTGCTCGGACAGCTCTTCGGAGACTCCAGGGGTACAAGAAACATATACCCTACTTCATATGAGGTTTGATGAGCACGGGGCCCTCGAGCAAGTATCCATCGAAAATAGGCCTTGAGGAGTTCAGGAGCCCGAACATTGTCAGGAAGACACAGTGAAACTTCAGTGCCGATAGGTAGCTGGGGCAGGAGGGATGCTGTTTGCTTCAGTAGCTGATAGGCGTTCGATTCTTGATGTGTGTCCTGTGTCCCAGTTGGAATTTCGCCGCCAATTCCTTTCTCTTCTTCAGCAACCAAAGTTGTGTGCGTAGACGGCCGCCACAAGGGTTCTGACGCCATGGCGCTCAACGAGGTTGGGGGCTGTAAGACACGGGCAAGTGCTCGGCGTCTAGAGGTTGCAAAGGCAACCCTTCCGCACAATCAAGACAACATGCATGACCAACCCCGGCTTTGGCCACAACGCGCGCAGTACAGGGCAGACCGCTAAGTGTAAACCTGATCTTTGGGATGTGAGTGCTTCATATTGCATCCTGAGATGGGGAGTTCAGGAAGAGGTGTCTTGAGATTGGTGTCGGGTTGTCGAACCAGGCCAAGAGAGAAAGGTGGACGACTTAGGGAGTACGACCACAGATGGTATCCAAAGAGAGGATTGCTTTCGAGATACCGTCTAAGGGTACGTAAAAACAAAAAACAGCCGGCATGATAGTGTCGCTTGGAGGGTGGCATAAGAAACAAAAACAAAAACAGACCCTAAACAGCACAGGCATTTGTGTCAGTCTTCCAAGGAGTGCCGTGGGGAGGAGGTTCAGAGGGCTTTCGCTTGTTTTTGGCTCGGGATGCCTGCGCAGCCCTTCGCCAGGCCTTTGCCATAGGGGCGGTTCCGGAGACACTTGCATCCGCCAGGCGAATTTCAGATGCCAGGGGACGGGGTTTAAGGCGGTGAAGGGGTTTGGCTAAACACTCAGGACTTAGGCCCAGTTCAGGAGAACCGCTGGCACCCAAAACCCAAGGGAGAAGGTTTTTCACGGCTGTCTGCAGCCACTAGCCAAGTTCTGGATGGACAATGTGCTGCAGTCCCTCTACTCAGGGTTCTCGCGCATTTCGTTTGGAGAGACGAGATTCCCTCGCCACTGGTCTCATCTGTGATGACCAGACCACTTGAAGCATTCGCAGATGACCGTAGGAAATCCGGATCGAGCAAGAGTCTCAGCGATTTGGCTTCTGTTAGTCGCTGCTGGCGTGTTGCAGAAAACCTTGAATTCGAAACTGAGGAGTGCAGTGTGAGGCTGCTATGCAGGTGGCAAACTCCGAAACCCTAACCCTGTTGCTCTAAAGCCGAGTTTAGAGCCCCCCCCCTCCAGGACTATGTGATCTTGATCAAACAGCGGGCTACGATTCAGGGAGTCATTCTGTGTCATTTTACTTGGAGCATTGGGTGGCCATGGTCATGTTGTAGCACTGACCTGCGTGTTTCGATTGGCAAACTGGCTGTGGCTTCCTTGTTGTGTGGGCCTTGTGCCGGAATCCCCGAGTAACAGAGCCTGTGGAAATCTCGTGGAGGCCGGCCACGCAATCGGGACGGCGAGTGCATGAGCTTCCAGAGCGAGGTTGGGGGGCCCGAGGGTTTGCAAGCGAGCTAGCAGCCAGTTGCTGCTCCTGTCCCTACTAGACTACGCCCAGCAACCTGGCGTACACATGTCAAGCCGGTGTCTGCTGGCATCAAAGGTTCAGCCGGAGAGGGGGTGAAACTAAGGCTTCCAGCCCATACAATTTTCCAGGGAGAGGCTCGATTTGGTCAATCAAACGGTTTTTGTTTGAACTCCTTGGGTGTATGCGGTCACTCGGGGAAACGAGCAAAGGCATGCCTTAGGTATGGCATTTGTCTCATTGCGGTTCATTGGGGACATCAGGCCTGACTTAGGCATGACATAAGCATATGACTGTCTTCCGAACTTGTAGACTTTTTTGATAATTTGTTGGGAAGCTGAAAAAAGGCGGAGGAGAATCGTGCCCAGGAGCCTGCCAGTAAAAGATCAGAAAAGATAAACAAGAAACGGCAAAGCGGCAAAACGGCAAAGCGGCAAAACGGCAAGAACGACGGAGCGCCATCTGCGCTTTCCGGGGCTTCAGAGAAATTCAGGAAAACACTCGGGCACTTCCAGGCTGTTGGGGCTGCGGGGCTGGTCTTGGCGGCTTCTGGTCGTTGGGTCGTTGCCCAGGCGCATCGTCGTCGCTTGCAGCAATTGCCACAGTTTTGGCAGCGGGCGCTGCTGCGAAGAGGCATTGCCGAGAGTGCTAGGGCCGCTAGGGTTCTGCGGCTTTGCGGAGGCGACTTGTTGAGTTTTTAGAGCCTTGCAGGGCGCAGAGATGTGCAGAGTTCAGGCTTTGGTTTGGTTTTGAAGCCTTCGCAGCCTTTATGGAGAGTTGCGGGACAGAGCGGAGAGAGATGAGAGAGAGTGAGAGAGAAACACATTGGCAGAGCCGAGGGATCTTGTCGGTTTTCGAACTCCTGGAAAAACAGGGGGGATCATCAGGCATGATACCGCCCACAAGATCTCCATTGACCGCCCTAAGCCGGGGGCGTTCCGTGCCGGGGGGTGTTCCTAGAAAGAAAGAGCGAGAAAGGAAAGGAAAAACATAAAGAGAAAGAAAGAGAAAAAACAGAGAAAGCATGAGAAATACAGAAAGGGCAAGTAAGATAGTGAAAGGGAAAGAAACAGTGAAAGAAGGAGAACGCACGACAAAGAAAGAGTGAAAGAAGGAGAAAGAAAGAGAAAGAAGGATAAATGAAGAGAAAAAAGGGAAAGAAACAGAAAGAAAGAGAAGGAAAGACCAAGAAAAAGAAGCAAAGAGAAAGATATAGTAACGATAAAGAAAGATAAGGAAAGATAAGGAAAGAGACATGCCCCCAAGAAAGAACGAACCATACAGAGAAAGAAAGAGAAAGAGAGATAGCGAAAGAGAAAGAAAGAGAAATGACGAGTAAGAACCAGAAGGAAAGATGATCAATAAAGAGAAAGAAAGAGAAAGACAAAATAAATGCAAAAGGCATAAAGAAAGAACGATTTGCAAGGCACCGCTCGAGCCTGTAGCACAGCTTGGACATCTGGAGTTGGGTTGCCTGCGCAAGAACCAAAGAAAGAATGAAAGAGATAAACAAAGACAGAAGAAATAAAGAAAGAAAACGAAAGAACAAAATGCACAATGAACTACGGAAATAAATGAAGAAAGAAACATTATGGAGGCAGCTGTACCCTATCAGCCCAAGCTTCGCGACTGAACTGTGTGCAAGGCGTCCAGAGGCCCGGTCGGCTGTCAGAATGAGGGCCCGGGCCTTGTGGGTGACAGTGGGCCGACCCCATGGGGGACGGGACCCGCTAGACTTTGCAAGCTTTTAATGCCTTCAGTAAGCTTTGACACGCCTTGACACACCTTGACACCCCAAGGCCTGAACCTTAAACCCACAGGGGCTCGTGAAAAGCCATTGCCGCTTGCTAGCCGGGCTGCCGTTTTGGCGCAATTCGACGGCCTTGTGTTGGGGTTCTGTCTCAAAAGTCGTAAAATGTAAAGATGCCACTTGTGGGCTGTGATTGGGAAGGAGGCTGCATGTGGAAACTTGAGGGGTGCTTCCATCCACCCGTATGGCAAATGCACCGACATTTTGAGGCAGAGACTGCCGTTGTGGAGAAGCCAAAGGAGGAGGTTAAGGGCGATTTGGAGAAGGAAAATGCCCCTTGGCTGTGGCGAGGTCGGAGATAAAATCACATCAGGATCGCTTTCAGTGCTTTGCCGTGTCATCATTCTGTTTGCATGGCCTAGAAAAAACAATGCAAAAACACATGCAGACGCCTTCTTGGCAAGATCTGAGGAGGCGCTGATCGAATCCTTGGCTGAGCAGGCGAGCTGCAGATGCTGTCCTCTGTCAGGGTCGTTGTGCTCGTTGGGTGCCTTTCAAGGTCGAGGCCATCAATGCGCTGGAAGAGGAGTTCGAGAAGAGCCCTGGCCTGTGACAGCTCCTGCTCACCGGAAAGTGGAAGACGAAGCCCTAAACTTTCAACCCAAGCAGGCTCAGAAGCAAGCCGAGCAGTCTGAGAAGACCCAGGATGGACAACGCTGCCCTGCGGGCCAAGACAACAGAGCTGCGCCAGCGAATTCAAGCCTCACGCCTGCCATAGCTTGGACACTTACCCTCAAGCACAATTGACAATTCACCTTGGGCCCTGTGCGCCTTCATTTCTCGTTCTGCGCTAGAGGCAAACGGTTTTGAGACGAAGACCGTCAACGAAGCCTTTGCGGTTCTCCGCGAGGCAGATTGCAGAACGGGGATGCGCATTGCAGAACCTACATCCTGTCCTGTTAGTCAGGCCACATGCGCATTATCATGGTTTCTTCCCACATGGATCCACCTCGCTTTTCCGCTTCTTTTTGTGCAGGGTCGCCAGGGACAAACATGTACATTTGGGAGCCAGTCGTCCAGGAATAGAAAACAATCTACTGTCCCAATCTTTCTTGGGTGCAGAGGTGCTAAGACGCAGTATTCTCCCAACAAATGCAAAAGCACCAATCCAACATTTTGGCAGCCCAGACGCTCATAGCCTTGGAACAGAATACAGTAGGGTATGGAGCTGTCCAGGACCAAGAGCGGACTCTAATGGACTTCGTTAGTGTTTCCTCAGCGGATTTTCGACTGACATGCCAACCATATTTCCCACTGCCCACGCACGCTTCATACGCCCGCAAGCCGGGCAAGTCACAAACCCGAAAGCGATGACACCCCTAAAGGCCCCCCGACCTGAAGCTTGTTTTCGGATGCCC